CCGGGCAGGGGCCGCCCGCCGGCCTGGCTTACGGGGGCCAGGTGAGGAGCCCACCCCCGGCCGAGATTAAAAGGGTCTCTTAGTTGCTCCCTTCCCCCCCCCCCGCACGCGCTAATTAAGCATGGTAATAACTTCTCGTTGCTCCGCTGATGTGATTTAGTGCAACTTGTCTTGTCAAGCCTGTTCCGGTGTTTAGTGTGCAAGTTAGCTTGTGCTTGCTAACGGCACATCGAAAAGCCATTTTATTAAAATCCCGGACTCCGGGTGGTTAGCGAGCCCACACTCTTAAACTTACTCAGCCGATAGTGCAAATGACTTTTGAGTACCTCAACTCAGGTGTGCCAGCATCACAGAGTTTCCCTACCTGTTGCTCGGACAGTGACAAAGTTTTGAGCAGTTAACAGTAAGCAAAAAGGCACAAGTGATGATGGACTTAGATTTTTCAGAGAACTGATTATTCTGATATAATTTCCTATATTTCCTCCTCTTATTCAGATTGGAAGTTCATGTGCCTCTGGTCAAAGCACCAGAGTGGTGCTTTGGGTTTAATCGGAGAGTTCATCTCAATGAACAACATTTGTATTAGGGTAATTATTTTGTTCGAGATGTACTAAGTTATACTATTAATGTGCATGCCCTGCCTTGGTGTGAAAGAGGTCTTATCTGTGAATGGTTTTGAACTACGTAACTAGGGTAGACCTTATGTGCTTCACTTGCTACTGGTGGTGTCAAGGCTAGGATGCTGCAGGGAAATAACTAACAAAGGTGAATACCATTGCTGCTACATGGTGCTTTGTGATCCCCCTCTTGCTTAAAGGTCAAAACACAGGTTTCCAAAGCTTACCCTCAGACTTCCTTCCAATTCAAGGACAAGGAGCAGATGTAGAATTAGAAGTTTGAATGTTTATGTGTGTACACATATATACCTCTGCATATATATGTTTATAAAATGGACAAGCTATTCATGCTGGTTGGTACACAGCATTACATCCTCACTAGAGCTGCAGTGCTGAGCAGAGAGAAATGGTGGTCATGGGTACAAGTCTGCTGCTCCTGTTGCAGACTGGTTATACTGGACAGGCTCAGGTGGAAAAGCCATGGCAGCCACTGTGTGCTGGACGGCAGAAAGGAACCTTGGGAGGAACCACTGAACCTGACTTAGGTCTGTCCGAGTCAGTTTGCATGTGCTGATTTATGTTCATCTGAGTCAACTCCTGTGTGTTTCCTGGCAGACATGTGGGCCAGTGGCTGTATGCTGTCAGTGGGGAGTATGGAATAGTGATTTTTTTGAGGGACCTCATTGTTAACAAGTTTTCTGTCAAAGTCACTGAAATCAGACAGTCTGCACTGAATAGTCGGTCAGATGATACCTGTATTTCCTGTTGGCCTTTCAACATGCAAAACTGTGGATGTTTTACATTTGAGATAAACAGAGAACTTTCCTCCCTGCTGTTCTGTGCACCTGCATCCAGCTGTATGACAATGACCTGCAGAATGCTGTGGGAGATACGTGTGGAAAGGGAGAGGGGAGATAGCATTTTAATTGCCTTATTCACAATTAAATATTTAAGTCTGTGGTTTTCAAATTATCTGTACTATCAGTGGTCAACAAGACCACGGTGAATAATCTGCAGCCAGTCTGTGTTCTTAGGTACAAATACTCATATGCATACATGCCACTTATAAGAAACATTGGGACGTGGTAATTCTCTGCAACCTCAAAAACATGGAAATTGCAGTTCTTCATGAACTAGAAAAACAAAAGGGAAGAAATTGAGGTATGGGGAAATAAATACAGTTTTTAAATATCTTTCAGGATGGATACTAAACAAGAAGGATGCAGAGCCACAGATTCACAGTGACAGTATTTTTGTGTGAGACCTAGAAAGCGGGAGTACCCTGTCTACCATCACCTCTTGTAGGGTCACCCTGGGATCTGACAGATTCTTATTTCAAATGGCTGTATTCTTAGAGCTTCTCCCATTTTTTTCAGTGCTTCCCTCTGGATTGTGGAAAGTAAATTACCAGTGTCTCAGTGTACCTTGGCCATATCTTGGAGATGTAGGGGACGAAGCTCTTACCATAGCTGCAGTAGCCACCAAGGTTCACCAGGGCATGGACCTTTTGTAGGGTCTGCTTTCGTCTACCTCAAGGGTCCTCTTATATTACAAGGGCAAAAGAAAGAATTTTAAAAAATACTTTCTTTTTAATGCATCTAAGAATCCATAAGGAGTAGCGTAAGGCCTCTAGAATAAACTAGCGATAAATTGCATGCTTTGCCACTGGGTTTGTTGGGTCTTTACTGACAGTGGAGAAAGAGTGAGATAATGGATGCCTGGGCTGGCCTTCTTCCCTGGAGCCTTTTTTTTTGCTCCCAGTACCTCCTTTTTCAGCTTTCCTTTACAGGGTGGGCTTGTAACTTTGTCCCAACTCCCATTCCAGTTCCTTCACAGCTCTTCACTACAAGTTCCTACTTGGATCCTCCATTTTTGTCCCTGCTATCATGCAGTGTCTTACACCCGTTTACTGTATTTTCTCATATTCCAGACTGACTCAACCTCTCTGCACTGGAGTTGGGAAGTTTATGGCAGTTTGTACTGGCCCTTGTCATCAGGGCAGGCTTCATCCTGAACGTTCTGTTAATACCATGTTTCAGGAGCAGGGATTTCATATTTACCAAAAAGAGCACATGACAAGAATATGGGGGTTTGCTTTGGGGGCTTTTCCTCTTCCGCATATGTCTTCCTAAACTTTGTGCTGTAGGGTGAACATGTTCATCTGAAATTTCACAGACCTCCTCTTTTTTAACCCATTGAGTGTGTCTGTGTGCAAAGACTGTGCTCAAGCCTTGTAGATGTGACCCTTGTGATTGTGTCCGCCCTGCCAGGACAGTGCGTGTGGTTTTCCAGTGGGCACTAGTGCTGAGGAAGACTCTACCTGGAATTGCAGAGAGGGGCTGAGCACTGCACCAGACACCCAGGAGCTCTGCTGATGGGGCTCTCTCACAGAAGTAGGAGGAAGAACAGCTCTGTCCTGGAGCCTTGGGCTGCTTCTGTCCCACGGCTGCCACCTTTTTTTTCAGGCCTGTTTATTGCACTGTCTTGCATAGTCTTATGCTTTAACTTGTAGCTCTATTGTATTGAATGGATTTGTAGGAGTGGGTCCCAAAATAAACAAATATGCTAAATTTGAGTTGGTTAGAATAGTGTCTGTGTAACTGCTGTGTTATTTTGGGGCTTACTATGCATTTCATAATTAATTTCTGGGATTGTGTTCTAAATACACTGATTTCTGTATGTGGGAGAAGGTAATCGCCAAATATTGATTCCAGTCACCTCTTACTGGTTGCGGCTGAAAACATTTATTGTGTACTTGTGGTAAGTATAAGGATTTTTGGAATGAGATTGACAAGAATGGAGCGGAAATCCTACTACATGATTTAAAATGCTTTTTGTTTTTTGAAAATATGACACTTATCAACAGAAGAGATTCCTCAAGGAAATGGCAGGATGATGATAAATTACAGGAGTGGTTTTGTGAATCCTGACTTCTGTATGAGATTTGTTTCAGATTCTTTGTACACATTTGGTCAGTACCCCACTATTATGTGTCAAGTTAGCCATTGATACAGAGGGGTCGACATTTAATGATTCATCTGCAAGTATCCTGAAGATTTATTTTTTTATCCTTTTAATATAATTGGAGTTTATAATTCTATTGTATAAAAATAATTATATTTTACCTCAAATATATTTTTTGTTAGGGTTTGTGCTACAGTCTGCTGTTTATTATAGTATTCATTTTTGCTGTAGTGGGTATCTTTACTGTGTGAATTACTGCTTTGAGGAAAAAAACAGAGTGCTGTCACTACAAACCTTACCTTTTAGCAGATTTGCTGGATTTTACTCTTCATTGTGGAATTGCTTTGTGATTATTTTTTTTTTTACTAAAAATAATTTAGAATTTTTATTTAAGTCTGTTTTGTTAGCTTAGAGTTGGGTTTCCTTGTTGCATGTAGTTTCTCCTATGTGTGCTAGTAGCTCTGGCGTTTTCTAGTTTTCTCATATTTTCTTGTGGAAATGTAATTTGATGTAATGCATGTGAATGGCTGCATAGTTGTGCTTTATTCTGGTCAGACAAAGAAACAAAATATGAATTGCCAGACAGAAATATTTTGAGGATTATGCAGTGATAAAGCTTTCTTATTTCCAGCAGATCATGCAGCAAAAGAGCCTGTGGAGGATACAGATCCAAGCACTCTTTCCTTAACAATGGTATGTGTTTCTGGTCTAACACAGTTAAAATCGTTATAGCTCTCTACAGTTATGTAGTGCAGCAGTGAGGTAAAACATTAAAGTATGTTAATTCAAATCGTCCATCTATCTATCTATCTATCTATCTATCTATCTATCTATCTATCTATCTATCTATGGATTTGCTTATCCCTGTGGTTGTATAACCAACTTTTAATTTACTAATCCTGCTCAATTAAAGTGTGAATAAAAATACCAATAGGTGCTTAAGGTGAATTGAGTGTTATCAGCTGAGCTGTCCATGGGATAGCCTCTGGAGGTTTCATTTTTAATTTAAAAAAAGCCACAAAACAACCAAGAAAGTTTGGTGCGGACGTTCTTCTGCCCATATAGGTTAGAGGGATAAGAAAACCCACCTAAAGCTTAAAATTTCAGTTGTACTAAGTTGTTATTCCTTCCTGTACCTATTTTGTCTGATGAGTTAAAGACATGGCAAGGTTAAGTAAGACCAAACAGCAGTACCTTACAGCAGGCACGGGTGGATCTAGGGAGGGACCAAACAGCGCGCTCTAGTGCTTGCTGGCAAGCAGAGTCACACCGTTTATGACAAATTTTTGTGTCTTAGAATAGTAAACGTGTCAGTCATGCTGAGACAAGGAGTATATTGGGTAAAAGTAATACAAAGTTCTGTGAAGTCATTTTAAGAGTTTTTCTTTGTAATGTTGCTGTGGATTGTTTGCTCTGGGGAGAAGTTACAGTGTTGTGTAGCCCAGAGACTTGTCAACTGTAGTTACCTAAACAGATTGAAATACATTGGTTTATTTTATGGATGGCAAGTGAGCAAGCAATTATTGTTTTGCCTTGGCGTTTTCTTCTCATTTTGAAGCTTTGCAGCAGGAAGTCAGCAGGAAACAAAATTTCACTAGTACTTTAAATGCTGATCCTTCACTGGGTTTCATTATGGCAGTTTGTGTACATACATTTGTGTTAGCAGGTTTTGATAAAATATACAGAGTTTGTGATTGGTTTTGTGGAATGACTTTATTCCCCCCATACCCTTAAATTAAGATGTCTTTAATCTATTTGCTTGGTTATGAACTTCTATAAAATCCGCACCTACTTTTACATAAGGGTGGGGGTGATAGGGAAGGAGGTAGATTTCAGGTATAATAGTAAGTTATAATATGCCTTGAAATCAGCTGCTATCCCCTTAAACTCATTAATAGTAGTAGTTTTCTACTGCATCTTAATCAGCTTTTTACTTTTAGAGCAGAAGGGAAAAAGATTTTTTTCTTTCCATACAGTTACATTTTAGTAAAAACTTTTGTAGTCATCTCTGTACCTCCTGAAACATTACCTTTGGGTATGCATTGCCTGTTCTAGATAATCTTGCTACTTAAATGCAAAATTTATTTCCCAATCTCTGAATACTGCAGCAAAGCATCAATCTTTATGACTTTTGGATGTGCTAATCAGTAATGTTAGTAGCATCTCAATTCCCACATAAGAAGAGTATTACTATATCTGATTGTAGACAGATTAATTAGTAGCAGTTTAAGAGATGTGACTATAATGATGGTGTTTTATATATTTCTTCTCCAGCACAATTACACTCAAAGTAACACACAACTGTGTCTCTTGCTTTTTTGTGACAGACTGAAAAATATCCTGTCCAAGACACAGGAGTACCTAAAGGTAAATATTGTGAATTCTATCTATTCAGGTGTCATAGATCTGTGTTGTTATATTCAGCAAAACCATTGGTGTTATCCAACAGATTGAAATACTCTTACTTTTTCCTAGATGTTTATGTTCTAAATGTAGTGTCTTGTGTATTTTTTAAGGTCAGTTTGGTATGTGTGTGTGTGTGTATATATATATATATATATATAAAACTTCTGAAATTTCTTTCCAAAGTTTAGTTTTGATCTAAAAGTCAGTCTAAAACTTATCATCAGAAGATCTTGGTTCTCAATCTGGACGGAAAATACGGTAGCGTCATCGAAAACCGGTGTTCAGAGAACAGATGGTAGAGACATGCTAATGTTAGAAGGTGGCTTTGAAGAGACTACAAGTGCTTTGAGCTTATCAGAAATACAATCCAGATATACCTTCCAGGTCTGTTGCCTCTGATTGCTTTCTCAGCCCTATAACCAATTAAATCTCATGCCATCTTTTACCTTCAGCAGGTATTACTACCATCTACTTGGGAACCTAATATAGATCTGCTCTGCACAAATTCCTGCCTCTCCTCACTGAAAATGGAGTGAGGGAGTGCAGGTTCTGTATTGCACTGAAATCAAATACTTGGATTGCACAGTGTGAATATCCCCTTTATGGTACCCTTGACATGTGGGGTGAGGTTTTTTGTCATCCCAGGCTCCACTGTTGGCTTTTGTCCAGGGACTGTACTGACAGGGGCTCATTTGTGGAACGCTCTGCAGGTAGTGTCTTCTCTGTCCTGTGTTGTACAGCAGGTCTGCAGTGGGGACAGACACAGGAAACTATGAGGCAGCTAGTCACAGTAGAAACTTTGCTGAGGAAGCATCAGCAATATACCAACTGGGGTTAAAGAAAGGTTAGAGACTATTTTGGGTCCTTGAGGGAGCCCAGCTAGAGGAAATGGGCATCTTCTCAGAAGTGCTGCTCAGTAGGGGAGGGAATGCAGGATGAAAACTATTTGAAATCATACACTGCTTTCTGTTTATTTGCAGGCAGGTGGTTTGTTCCTTCAAAACTATGTTTATTAACACTAAAGCAAGTTCTCTGTAACATTCTTTTCCATATCCTGTTTTTTATTTCACCTGTAACATTAGGTCCTCCTCAAAATTGATTAGATAAATTCCTAAATTTGAAATTTGTCAAAGTTGTTTGAAATCTGAGATTGCATGGCTTAGATGCATTTAATTTGAAAACTAAAGCTTAGAGGAAGTTGAAATTTCAGTGCTTTCTGTATAAAAGAAGTGAACTTGGTTTGTTTTTAATTATAGTTTCTGCTTCCTCTTGCTAAATGTCAAAAGATGTAAGTACTAATATAGCTTGACATTTCCCCTTTGGAGTTGTGATACAAATACCTCTTAATATTCTGTTCATACCCGTGATTAAAATTCTTTTCTGAGAATGACTTTTCATAACTAGTTCTATAAAAGTACAGACTTAGACATATGAATCTGTGAGCTAAAAAGTGCTACAGATGTTCAGGTCTGATTCTGTGTAACACAAAATTATATTTGCTTCAGACTTAATGTTTGAATAGACAGTACATTGGATGGGGGGACTGTTCTGTTGCTTTTATAGGTCAATTGAGTAATGAACCATTTTGTGGCCATAACTCATTGAAGTTCTTAGCACCCACTACCGATTATGAATTAAAGGTGAGTTGAGGGAACTTTTCATCTTGCAGGATTAAGCTTAAAATTTTCATCATGTTTTGATTATAATTTTGCCTCCACTCAAATATAGAACAAATTTCACACATCATGTTTCCACACAACTGAAGTGGAATTTTGATGCCCATACTCTGTATTTTCAGCCAGACTTTTGTTGTTGTTGTTGTTGTTGTCTCTGGATCTACAGCCATAAAGAATAAAGGTGATCCTTATTAAACATTTACCCTCCTGAGGGTGGAATACTATTTGGCTTTAAGTTTCAGCAGTCTTATACAACCAGAAAAAGAGGAAAATCATGATTTTGGTTGTTGTGTTTTGTTTTTTTTTTTTCTTGCAAGTGTAAGGATGAATTCTTTGATTCAGATCAATTTCTTCAGTGAGATAAGGAAATATGTCTTCTGTTATCTGACGATTCATAAAGATAACAGTTGTTCTTTAATGAGATTTTACCACTAAACAAACAGCAAATGGAAATGTACATAGTCACTAGTATGGAGAGTTCTTGTGTGTAAAAACATGTAGACTATAACCTCTTTTAAGTTCATGTTAATGGTTGGGCAGCACCTGACCCAGGGGAATTATGCAGATGGTTTGATGATGAGGATCTTAATTGTGCAGAGTGAAATTTGTCTGCTTGCACAAGGTTCGCAAAGGGCTTATGTATCCCTTGTACTACACTTTGAGGGCTGAAGTGAAGCTTGAAAAGTAAATAGAGTTTGTGCTGCAGTGGGGAATGTTGTGCTTTTCAGTGGACTCCCAGGGCAGTTGATAAATACTTTGAAATGGATTATTTCACTGCTTCAGAAAACTCTTGTATAGTAAAGTAGGATAAGCCTAATTCACAGAGGAGCAGCATAAAAGGTAAATATTTGTGTAGTACATATTTCAACAATTATCATTGTGTGATGAGAAAAGCAAAGCAAAAATTATAGTGACTTGCAAAATCATTGTGTGATGAGAAAAGCAAAGCAAAAATTATAGTGACTTGCAAAATCTAGTGAGTTGTAACAATCATCTTCGGCCTACTTTTTAATATTATTAATTGTTAATATTCTTTGGTCAGCTTTCTGAAAGAAGAACATGACTCTTGCTTCAAGAATAGCATGGTGTTTGTTTAAAAAACAACTGCTACACTAATATCTAATCTCTGCAAGGATTATTTTTCTTTGCACAGTCATGCTCTGCATGATTGTTGCAGTCTGCCAATTTAATATTTTGGGCTTTTAATCCAGCATTTCCCAGTGACTGATCATGATCTGGAGTTAAGTTTTGTATGCTAGACACCTGTAATTTATGTTTGATACTCTTACTATTTAAATTTGTATTTGGGTGGAAGACTAGTGTTTCACAGTGTTTGTCTTAGATGAGCAATACCTAACAGATCAAGTTACACTGGAAATTGCATCTGTGAACATCAAGACCCTTACATCAGATTCTGGCCTAATCCAACAGGTAAGAAAAATGATATCTGAATGTGAACTAAATGATTGCTGTTGATTAAACAAGTATGTTAACAAATAAATATATTTTCAGAGTGTATCTGGAGAGCATGGAGTTACTCAGTAAAACAGACCAGAAATAGGCTCTCTTTTCAAGCATTCAGTTAAGTGAGCTTTTGTGGAGAAGAGTGAAAGAAAGGTTATTTAATCATTAATGTGTACTTTGTACTTTAAATAGGTTTTGATTAGTGTGTAGATACTTTGAAGAGGAGATGACAGAGTTGAGACTTTGTCATGCATACTCTCTCTCCTTCCTGCTGAAAATAGAGCCGGGGCAGAGAATAAATGAAGAAATAAAGAATCCTGGGTTTTGGACTCCTTGTGCTTTGCCCTTAGGGAGACGTTTGGCTGTTCTGCCTTGACTTTGGGATACTGCTCTTCCCTTAGTGGAAAACACCACTGGTTGTGAAATTTTACATTGCCACAGGGTGGGC